AGCTCGTTGGCTCTAGCGGACACCCTCTCTACTATGAACCCAGTCTTCTACATCGGAGCTTGAAGCATTGCCCAAGACCCCCGTTGGAAACCTGTGTGCCCGCGGCTACGCAGGGGTTAGCCTTGTGTGGCGTCATACAGTTGTAATCGAAAACAGACGAGAGTTGTTTGTAAAACAGTAGATTTATTAACAAGCTAGACCGTAGTCTCAATTTAACCACTACCCTGTCCACAATAAACTAAATAAATAGACACACTACAACGAGAGATAATTTGAGAACGGCTACCACACCGGAACATACCACCGATGTTCCCTGTATGAAGCCGCTCTACTTTGAGACCATCTACGCGTCTCGCAAGTCACGACAATGAATTGCCGGCCCCTCGCCCTAGTGCACCTACACGCATAGACACGCGCTTCACCTGTCGCCGACGCCACTAGAATAAGAAGACTGGGGCATTGTTCTCCTTAAATAGGCCCTTTTGTCGCTACCCGCCGCTCCCCTTGCCTCCTTTCCAAAGCCGCTCTGGGTTCGCTACGTCCACGGAAAGTCCCAGTGCGTCATCACTACGCCCTTTGTTTTACATCCAGCGGTGCTCGCCGATTTCCACGTGTCTGCTTTGAGCGTGACACGACGCTACACCTGTTTTGGCGAGGTCTGGAGTGGATGGTCGCGTGCGCAGCATGAGCCTACCTGTCTGGATGGCTGCAGTGGGGAGGCACCATGTGGGCCGGCGTGGCCGGCGTTGGCTGAGCTGGAAGTGCTGGTGCTGGTGGGGGTGCTAGGAGGAACGTGACCCTCCCCTTCTGAGTCGCTTCCGCCGAGCGCCCGCAGCGCCACCTGCACGGGCAGCGGCGCGCAGGCGAAGTCGTCGGAGGGTGGAGAGGGCGTACGCGTGGGCGTGGACATGGCAGTGGATATGGGCATGGATGTGGGCGTGGGTGTCACTGAAGGTGTGGGTGTTCCCGTGGGTGTGGGTGGGGGCGAGGGTGAGGGCGTGTGCAAGGTCGTGGGCAGGGGCGATGGCCTGCTAATACTTGGTGCTCCATCGCCCGTTGCTTGCCTCGTGCTCGCGCCTCCACCTCCAGAACCCTGCGGTAGAAACATAAAAACTGGACAAGATCTCATCTTTACCTTCTTCACTACAATTAAAACTTTCAATACAACCTCTGAGGAACACATTTCAATCATTGATAAAATGAATTAATAGGTAAATATATTTTGTAGAAAAATAAGATATAGTGTGACCGTTATATCTAGGTATTTAGCAGGGGAGAGGTGTGGCATTTTTGGTGGATTGGTGGCATTTGGACAGTGTCCGGGTCTATCTTTCTGCAGCGCCGAGATGGGAGGGGCGTGAAATTGAAATTGGTAAAGAAATCTGGGTTTGTGGAGAAAAATTAAAATTCAGTCTGTAATGAAATTATCATTTTAAAATTTGTTTGGTGATCGATTACATTTTCTTACGATTATTGCTTGTTCTGAACAAAAGCGTGCCCCTTATACGCAAAAGACGGGATTACAGTCGACTGAACAGTCACTGTTCTTTCAGCAATCCAACTTTCAAATGGATATGAATATAAAAAGTATCAAGAATCACTCGGCAATGCTACATAGCAGTACAACGAGCTTCAAATACCAGAAATTAATCTCCCAATGATTTAAATTCATAAAAAATAAATGTATGCATTTTCTCTTCTAAAACATGTTACAGTTGTACTGACATTCGTGAATTTATTAGACAAACATCTACAGACTAAACATTCTACCTTACTAAATGAATAGTCATTCAAGCCGTTCTGTTGTAGTTTCATTTTTTATGATTGCCGTAGTAAATTCCCCTTTCTTTCCTACGGATTCGAAAAGTTCTCTCTCATTTGATATTAGGGTCAAGCAGCACACTCTTTCTTCTAATTGTATTTATATTTTATACATACGTTATATTTGTAAAGTACAAAATCTCTTTTACTGATGCTGTTCGATCAGTTTTTGGGCGTATTAGTAATTTTGGTAAAAAGAAAATTTCTTTAAATATTTATTCGCAATTTTCTTGTATGAAAACTTTACCAATTTTCATGGAGTTTTTTCCTTGAAAGGTTACATTTCTTTTAAACACAATCAGTTAATTGAGCTCAAGTCCCGGTGATTTTTTTCAGTGATTTGTCCTTGACTCGATTTAATGTCCCCAATGACCAGTTATCTCATGTTTACTAAGAATTTCTTCGATCCTCTTCATCTCATATTCTGGTCATTAGAATTTGTAATCGATGAATTATAACATCTTGGTACCCTGAAAGCTTCTAAAGCCCTCACCTTCGTTGAGACGCAACTTGGATCCCTTAGTCGCCGAAAATACGCTACACTAACATAAAATATAGCAGACGAACTTGATAGAGGATCTTAAAGTGATGTTCTTGCTACAGCAGGATACAGTAAAACCTCGCTAGTCCGAACCACGCAAATCCGAAATTTCGTATAATCCGAACAAAATTCGATAAGGAGTGAAACTAAACAAAATAAATAAAATGCATATTTGTATTGTAAAGAAAGGATTTTATAATTACTGTAGAACTGAACAACTAATAAGTGAAGCAACTTGTCGAAATGAAACAGTTATTGCACAGGTAATTACTGTGTATCACGTGTTTGCGTAGCAGTAATGTTCACTTCGAGAAACTTGCTATGTCTGTAATCTTCTTTTGCCGTTAGGAACTGAATCTGCTTGATGATGCAATATGATTATGTGATCGCTACGCTATGTTGCAGTTTTCTCACATCGCAGGTTACGTTGCATTCTCTGGTAATCCTGATGCACTTGTATATGTACGGTATATTTTTTTTTCGGATAATCCGAACATTTGCGAATCTGAACAGACCACTCCCTCAATTAGTTCGGATTATCGGGGTTCTACTGTAATAAAAACAGAAATGTCTCGCTGCACTCGCATCCAACATTATCTGAATCGGCTTGTGTACCTGTTGTTGTTGTTGCCGTCGGTGCGCGCGCGTGCGGCGGGCTCGCGGGGGCGAGGGCGGCGGCGAGGGCGGCGGCGAGGGCGAGGCCCTGGGCGAGGCCCTGGGCGAGGCCCTGGGCGAGGCCCTGGGCGAGGCCCTGGGCGAGGACCTGGGCGGGGCCCTGGGCGGGGACCTGGGCGTGAGCAAGATGGGCAGCAGCAGCGCCAG